TCTATCATATATACACTCCTTTCTACCACTTCTTTCTCTTTTACTCCGACGAAGGACTAGCGTCCGAAACGTCAGTAAGTTTTTTCATCTTTTCATGGTGTATAATTTACCTTTTTCATCATTACTGTTTCATTAGAAACACCGACGCAGCTCACACTAGTTTTTAGCTAGTTATATCTTTTTATAATTATAAAGAATAATTTGAAGCGTACCAGATCCATTCAAGAAAGCTCTACTAATGGTATCCAGTGAAATATCAGCCCAATAAACACAGTTGTCTTTGTAGTCAAAATCAACAGCAATAGTTTGCCTCAGACCAGTCAGGGGAAGAGTGGTTTGGTAGTAGTATGGGAGGCTTAGTCGCTTGATTGCAGCCTGTTGGGCATACAGAATGAACTCTGGCAAGGCTGTAAAAATAACATTATTGATGCCTTTAGCAAAGAAAATTAAGCAAGATGATTTTATTAAACCTCAATGAGATGGCCTTCTGAACTCAGCTCACAGTGTATATCATATGAAAATTGACAAAATTAATAAGTATTTAGAAATGAGCCATATTATTTATCCYCCTCCCTCTTAACTCTGATTAAGAACATCAGAAAATATGTGTAGGTGTGAGAGCCATCGTGAGTTAACTCTTCATTCATTAACTTTTCATTGCAACGGCATTGATCTAGACAACAATGACCTAACAAAATGGAAATTTGGCAATATACCGCCATCAATAAGAGTATGTTAAGGTACTGAACCATATATTTGATTGTAGGTAGTCTATTGCTGGCCTGATCAGCACCAATGTCGTAGCAATGAAAATAGTAGTAAGGCAAACAACATGAATTCCCCTCGCATGGGGAAGGTTTTAATGTGTAGTACTGTACTGACCAGTTGTGAAATTACAGCATAGTTATATTACATCAAGTCTTGAAAATACCAACAAGACTACATTATTAATGTACATTACTGTATCTGTACAAACATGTACGTACTGTTTGTCTAGATACTGTAGGTTGACACAGTCAGGGTAAATAGCTTATCAAACATTACTCACAAGAAACTGGACAAGAAACTCTTTCAGGTGAATAGAGATCTTCTTTGCCTCCTACACAACCGTTACCAGCCACTTTACGATACCTGGAAAAGGAAAAAAAAGTAAATGCCAGCCTCCAGTTTATTCAATCTGGGTTCAATATCTGCTTGAGTTTGATTCCTGCTAGATATCTGTTCCTGCTTTCGAACTGTTTGTGAGTCTTTCTCTTGTCTAAGTTGAACTTTCTTGCATTGTAGATTTTTTTATGATCCCATATTTTCAATATTTATCCAGCAATCCAACAATCAAATTTTGTACAATTACATTAATTTTTTGGAAAAGAGAGTTTTTCTCTACATCAACTCCACTCATATTTTTTTGGAAAAAGTAAATTGCTCACTTTTCTATGTTGAATAATTATGCAAAAGGAAAATTGACCAATCAGAGTGCACCTTTTAATTTGAATTACCTAATTTATTAATATTACATTGTTGAATACTCACCCCTTGGTTCTAGTATAGAAGGTGCCTGCAGGACAGTATGATGGCATGGAAGTGGGCTGCAACCCACTTGTTGTATCCCATATACATGAGTCTCCACTCAGCACATAACCCATATCACTACAAGACAAAATATCTTCTTTAGGAAGCAGTCACTTGAATGGACAGTCATTGGTTAATGGTTGGTCAATGATAGACAGTCATTGGTCAATGGTTAGTCAATGATGGGCAGTCATTGGTCAATTGCTGCTCAACGATGGGCAGTCATTGGTCAATGGTTGCTCAATGATGGGCAGTCATTGGTCAATGGTTGGTCAATGATGGTTAGTCGCTGGTCAATGGTTGSTCAAAGATGGACGGTCATTGGTTGGTGTTGGTGTTTAAAAAACAGTCATTGGTCAATGGTTGGTCAATGATGGGCAGTCATTGGTTGGTGTTGGTGTTTGATTTAAAATCATTGGTCAATGGTTGGTCAATGGTTGGTCAATGATGGACAGTCATCATTGGTTGGTGTTGGCATTTGATTTACAATTATTGGTCAATGGTTGGTCAATAATGGACAGTCATTTGTTGGAGGTTTGTCRATGATGGACAGTCATTGGTTGATGGTTAACCAATGATGGACAGTCATTGGTCAATAGTTGGTCAGAATACAAAATGGCCATGCTAGTCTTCGATTAAATGTCTCATAAATGAATTGAACACTATACCATTCAAAATCCTCCCTCACACAAGGACAAGGGGATTGTGACACTGCACGCTCAAAATCATATCCATTAAAGCAGTGAGCATGTGCAATACGTCTCTGATATTTGGCTGCTACCCCCAACAGACACGCAGACGAGTTTCTCTCATCTCTTGGACTCCACAACTTGTAGTCTTGAGTAGAACATGTTTTTCCTTTAAAATACAGGTTTAGAAGGTTAGTAATGGCTGATCTTTATTGCCATGTTTTCATCATTAGCTCAAACTGAAGTTGAAGCAACATACAAACAATGACAGCAGTATATATCAAAAGAAAATTTGAAAATTCTGGGAGGTCAATCAACACAGTCAGAAGAATTCTTCATTTTAGGGGGTGGAAGTATTTTCAATCTTGATATTTCTCCTTGTTTTGGAACCCAACCCCCTGCACCCACACACACCCAATAGAAATTTCCACCCAATATTTATGAATTCAGCACTATAAAATCAAAACAGAAACTGTTGGTTTGTTGGTCAGCAGATTATCTCAATTGGTTGACAGTTAGTCGACAGGACATCACTACAGGTGATAAACAGACGACAAACGATCCACAAACAACAAACACCCACCAAGGTAGGAATTTAGAGCAAGGAGCCTATAGAATTTTGAAAACAGCAGTACGACAAAACCTTCTATTATAAAATGTCAATATTTTCTACCCATTACCTAATGCTTTCCTCAGATCTACATGCACTACAGTCCACTCATGTTTCTGGATATGAGAGCCAAAGATAGTGAACTTGGTGTTTTTTTGTCCTGGTTCTGTTAGAAGTCCATACACCCGCATTCTTTCAGTATCAAGGAATTTCGTTGTAAGCCATGTCTCTCCTTCATTCCAGCTGTAGCTATGAAAACAAGACAAAATCATTCACTATGATAAGAAAATCAAGACAAAATTATGCATATGATGAGAAAAACAAATAAATATTATGGACCTTACACGGCAGCTATGTTTATCTCAGGGGAATTATAAAAACCTTTGTTTAACCYGCATAAATTTATTTTAGAGCACTTGAATGCAAGGCTGTGCATGTGAAAATCTTATCTTGTTTCAGTCAACATGGCTGCCACATGATCAATGTCTATGCCTTGCTTGAATCATCAGCTCATCATAGATAAATACATATATTAATGCTACATTGTCATATTGAAATAAAGGACTACATGATTTACTGTATCATTCAAAAATAAAATGAAATGAAATGTGAAACAAAACGACAGGGCAGAGCAGGGCAGGGCAGTTGATAAATTATGATGAAATCATGCTCAGCCTCATCATTCCGTAAAAAAATAATATTTTATTATAGGCGACTTACTATATCAGGTTTGTTGGAGACCACCTTGGAACTGCAATCAGAATGCCACCATGGTCACCAATGTTGTAATAAAAAGATCCTTTCAGTACCTATAGTACAAGGACAGAATAGAAGGATGAATAAGCCTGAAGCAAGATGACGTTTTACCCCCGACTATATACCATAATAGTTTTTWAAATTCTTTCATATTAAACTTTTTGATTCCTTAGAGAATACAGGAACAATAGTCATAATTAAAGAACAAAAGCAATGTGAAAAGGATTATGGTCTAGAGATGGGGGTAAAACGTCATCTCGCTTCTGGCTTATTCAGAAGAATGCAAGAATGGGATTGATGGTGAGATGTTAAATGAATGAGGAATATGAACACAATAGGAGTCTAGGATAGTGTTGAATGTCTGTTATCAATAATACCAATAACTGATCAATTAATGATAATTAATAATAATTGTAAAAACTTGTGATTTGTCTTGATACTACCTCATGCCAAGTCAAACCACCATTGGAAGACAAGAAGACATCTGCATTCATCTGAAGATTTTTTCCCATTGTACCTACCAACAAATCACAGACATGAAGTGATTACGACATAGAAGATACTGTCAGAGTGGGCCAGAGGGGCAAATCTTAGCAAAATCTCTTCCTACGGCAGCTACAGAATTTGTCAGATGAGTGATTAGAACATACTCTATTAAATAATTTATATAACTTGTCTGTATGGTGTACACATGCAATAGCAGACTCAAATGTATTGCTGTGTTTTCTTTCCTCTCTCCAGAATGTGAAATGTGCATCATGTGAATTGCAAGTTTGTAATAGAAGAATTCTTTTAAGCTGCAAGCACATGGTGATCAGTGTTTGACCAGTACTTGGAGCAGATAATAAAGGAGATTCAAAGACGACAGCAATAAATAAATATTCTCAAACAAAGCTCAAGTAACTACTTAATTTTATGATATTATAAGTAAACATTAATGACTGCAGGAGATTCAAAGACGACAGCAATAAATAAATATTCTCTAACGAAGCTCAAGTAACTAATTAATTTTATGATATCATAAGTAAACATTAATGACTGCAGGAGAAACTTGGACTAGTACTGTAGTTACAACCACTATGAATTTTTAGATCTTACCCATTGCCATGACAAGACCAGGAGCATTTTCGCTGGAGATCATTGGTGAATATCTGGTGTAAGGGTATTTACTACCAAACTCTTGAGAAACATGAAGAGAACAGTTGGGCTGGTGGGAACATGAGAATAAAAGAATTAGGTCTGGCGATGCATGACACTGCATTTTATATTAAGCAGCACAGTGATTCAGTGGCAATGTGACATAACCATAATCTAGAAATAATATGCTCTTTATGACCATCCAACAGTAGTCCAGAGCATGGCTGACAGTCAGCCAGCAGTTGATTGTGTGTTGGCCAAACAGTCAGCCGATTCATGGTTCTGCTTCCCTTAGTTACTGTTGCTACTGCAACAAATTATTGAGAATTTAGAAATCTGATCCCTGAAAATTGATTATCAGTTGTTTCTATCGTTTACTGTCCTTTGAAAATAAAATGTCCTCCTTATCCTTGATAGTACTCTCTTTAAAACAGATACTGTGCACATAGTTGCTTGTGGGAAAAGATTTTAATTCCACTGGGAAAACTGCTGCTCTGTTGATGATTGGCTCGCTATTGTCTGGGGGGAACCATGAATTGTCAACTGAAAAGAGTCAACTGGTAATAAAGTACACAATACTCCATAATCCACAGTTGATGAGAATGACCATTAAAAAGGTGGGGTCAAACGGTTGAGAGCAACATGTGATAGCGACAAACAAACTGACAATGATCTGACAGTACTCACCAATAAACAGTTCAATGGCTTGTCAAGACTGTCCACCTTTGGTGCTTCAAGTAGCTTCCACTCTCCTCCTTTATTGAAGGTTATCACAGATACCAGGTGACGGCGTCCCACTCTCCCTGGAGTCAGTTGAGTGGCAATGTACACACCCCTTAGACTTGCCACTTTGTGCACATCAACAAACGAATAGCTGATGTACCGTCTGAAATATATTTAATATTCGTTTACAATAAAATAGTTTTGGTAGTTGGCTACTCATTTCCCTTTGATCTTATGGRGGAAAACCAACACAGTCACCAGTAGCAGGAGTACAAGCTGTACATGAGTACACATTTGCCTTGCAAGGAACCCTTGGAGGGAAGGGATTACAAGTTTTTATTTATACACGTTTGACATGAAATTTTCCCCAATCATGATTCACAGGCTCGGATCAAATGTCAAACCTCACATGAGCTGAACCAAATTRAAACAATGAATAACGAGGCTGCCGTAAGATCRGCTCATGTGAAGTTTGATGTTTGACCTGAGCCTTAGTGGTCTAATCTTTACAATTTTTGGTAACTAACTTATTAATAATTGATATACTGTCTATTATAAGATGTGATATATAGTGCATAATGCATATCTTGAGTATTTCATTTTTGTGGCAGGATTCACAAAGTTGTCCCAGAATGAACCCATTTTTTATTTCTCTAGGACTGATCTTCTTGCCAGATTCAAATCTTGTTCAGGATCACATACAGGATTATTAATGTAGCATTGCTCACCGTAACCAAGGATTTCCAGTTTTGTAAGAGAAGTACAGCACTCTAGATAACGATAATGTGTACTTAATCCCTGATGTATCTGAGATGTACAGGTGTGTGGTACTCTGGTCGTGGCTTACTGCTAAAAACACCTGCTTCTCTGAAGCATCACACACTAGGAAGTCCTGCAGTAAACAAGTTGAAAGAAAACTAACAATTAAGAAGCATTTCCTCTTATGGTATGCCTGTGACTATATAGAGAGGGCAGGTTTAATGAGCTATTATATCCCTTGCCCCACTCTTTTGTACAGATTTATGAAATAAAATTTTAAAACACAATGCAAAAGTGTACTAAAAACTGTAGATGCAACTAAATTGACAAACTTTCTAACTTAGCCAAACTGTCAAGCTAGTCTTGAGCACTGGCATTAATATACTGTATGTAAAAGGCTTTGATTTATGCACCAAAATTCACCATTTTTCACCATTAATATTTATTTTTGAAAGTTGAATTTCAACTCTCTGTCACCATTCCGTTTAAACCACTAAAACATTACTGCAATTTCCATAAACATGCTAATTCTGTGTCTCCAAGCTAAGTTGCATGCTGAACTTTGTTTTTTTCCTGCCGCCAGTCAAAAATATGAAAGGTACAGACTGATTAGGTTTGATTGACGGCAGCGGAAAACCAAATTTCAGTGCGCAGCTTGTAGACAAAGAGTTTGCATGTTTGTGAAAATCTAGTAAACCACTTACTACTGGTCACTCTATACTAGTCCAATATGACACCCTGGATATACCCCAACCCCCATCCCTAACAAATTAATATTTTAATTAGTTAAACTAAATAATACATACCATTGATGGCATCTGTGTTGGTATTTGAGCAGCTCTGAATGGACCACGGTTTAAGGATACCATCAGGATTAAGCCATCAGAGGTGCGGCTGCTTTTAGGCTACAAGAGAGAGAAAAACATAATTTGATAAATAATAATATTTAAATATATAATAAGCAAGGTATTCATATGCACCACAAGYTCACCCCCTGAAAATAACTTTAAACCAATTACCTTTTACTTCCTAATAATGTAAACCCTGAAACTGTAAGATGCCCTTTCAAACGGTTCCTGTCAAACTATATACTAGAGAGAGTATAATACTATGAAGTTTGATAGTCCAGCTTGGAACTACATCATTTACAGGTATTTCCTGAATACCGTAATTTGCTCTTGCAAGCCCTCTTATTTGTGTAACAGATTTTGATATTGAGATACTGTAGCTAGTCAAGAGCTCTCTCTGTGTCTTGTATGAGTGGAAATAATATTATAGGCAGCAGCGCTGACTTACAAATTAAATCATCCCCTTTATTACCTTAGTAGCAAACATGTATTCATTCATCACTTCAAAGTTGGTCACTCCTGAGATCAGAGACACTGCAGTATTTGTGTTATAGTCAGTTTTGACAACCACAGATTTGCTACCTGTCAGTCAGAAACCAATGAAAAAGGATGTTGGAATTTTTTAGACAACCATACTTTATTATGGCCTTGCTGCTCTTTTTTTATTTATTTATTTATATATTTTTTCTTTTCTTTCAAAATCCAGATAAGATAAATTGAATTAATTTAAAATTCAAGGCAAGTCATTCCCTTAAATCTAAGAATGTAATCACGTTAATTCCACTCCAAGGAGGACGGAAAGCCTAACAGATTTTCCACCCACTTCATAAGGCTACAGTACAGATAGATTGAATTAAAATTTAGAAGTCGATTTTTGAGGTGGAGAAGCTGGAGGAAAGGCCTTGAAGCACAGGAGAGTAACCAAAAGGCATTCTCTACACACATAACGCTGAGTCCAGGAAATGAATGGTCCCAGGTTGCCAGAGGTCAGGGATTGAGAACCACTACTATATGCCACTTGTACTTCCCTAGGTTCTGAATTCAAGTGGTTGGATTTCAGGGACGAGTACACTGGCCTGACAGCTTGAAATCTGAGTCTAGATACAGCACCCATTTTCTAGTAAGATTGCAATACCTGTTTGACGCTCAATATACAACGTATCTGTACTTTCATATGGAGAAACTCCCCTGTGGTAATCATAATCAAAAATTAGTATTTTACACAAGTGAATATAATAAATACGGCACTCTCATTGGTCACAATTGACGTCTTAATATACGTTTTTATATTCACCTACAGATGAATATAGCAGTAAAGGCACTTTTTCTCTGTTATTTATTTAATAGTACACTCAACAAAATTACTCGACTCTGATTGGTCGAGAGGAGTACAATTATAGCATTAATTGTACACCATAGGAGTACCGAATTAAGTCGCTATAGAAACACGGCCAAAACTTGGAATGTAAAATTATTTTCTATCATTTTGTACTTAAAAAAATATATAAAAATTTTAAATCCTTTTTATGCATTTCAGTTGCGCGATGGACTGAAAATCGGCCGCCAAATAGACAAAGATGAACRGCGTCGCTTCGCATTTTTTACTGAAATTTTGTTGAGTAAACTATAAACAAAAAATCCCACGATCTTCTCGTACAATTCGGAATAAATTGTACTCRAGATTGTGCGATTTCCTATACAAATTTACTTCTGCTAAAAATACCAATACTACAATTATTTGCCTCAGCCTCAGTGAATATCAGGGAATATTTTTTGTCAAGCCGCTTGAAGACTCGCATCTTGGTAAATATTCCCTGCCAATATTAACTTTGCCTTCAGCGAATAATAATGTTACTGTTAAATATTGAACATTGTTAAATAAATATAATACAGGGTATGTACTAAAAAAATACATTAGCACAACATTGAGGAATATAAGTACTACATGAATGTTGTAGCCACAGTAAGCAACATCCCACCATTTACATATATCTACTGGCATCCTAACAATCAAACACCATTTGGCTATTTAAAATATTATCATCATCATCATCACTATCATCATCATTATTATCATTATCAAAATATTAATATTATCAAAATATTATTAAAATATCATCACCATCATGATTATCATTATTGAAATATTAATATTAAAAGCAAAAAAATTGATTTTCATTTAATTATTTGTATCATCTTTTATTTTTCAACTTTTTTAACAACTTTATTGG